GGTAGAAAACATGTTAGTTGTCGGGAATATTTTGCATACCGCATGCATGATAGGAATTGTGAGCCACCGACAATTTTATCAGCTCGAAGGTTGTTTCAACAGTTCGTTGTCGATGCTTATACAATGGTCGAATCATCGAGGTTGCGATATATCTGTTTTAATCAGAAGAAACTTCGTTGTGATCTTTATAATGGTTTGGCTGATGCTGTAGTACGTGGCGATACTGATCCTAGCTCACGTGGAAAGCGGATTATACTACCTTTTTCGTTCACTGGTGGTCCTAGGAATATGATACAAAATTACCAGGATGCAATGGTCATATGTAGATGGGCAGGATATCCTGATTTGTTTATAACTTTTACCTGCGATCCAAATTGGCCGGAGATTATTTGTTTTCTAGAGCGGAGAAAATTGCTTCCTGAGGACCGACCGGATATGTTTGCAGGGTCTTTAGGGCAAAGCTTAAGGCGTTGATAAAGGATTTCCGTGAAGAACAAATATTTGGCAAGGTTACTGCAGGTAAAAAAATGTATTTAAATTTTATTTGTTAATATTAATATTAATTGCTAAAAAAATTAAATGTTTTTATCAATGATATATCTATACTTTTTAATTGTTTATAAATGTTTTATTATTTTGCAGTTGTCTATACGATTGAATTCCAAAAGCGTGGTTTGCCACATGCTCATATACTTTTCTTTCTTGCAAAGGAAGATAAGTTTCCAGACCCATCTGACATAGATAGAATAATATCTGCTGAAATACCGGATCAGACGTCTGATCCTATGTATTATGCAGCAGTGAAGGAACATATGATGCACGGGCCATGTGGTGTTGCACGACCAAACTCACCGTGCATGATGAACGGCAAATGCAGCAAACAATTTCCAAAAAATTTTGTCGAATCCACTTGCGTAGATGAGGATGGATATCCACGCTACAAGCATCGAGACGACAGTAAACATGTTGAAAAGAATGGCATCGTCCTCAATAACGGTTATGTTGTTCCTCACAACTGTCGTTTGCTGATGAAATATGGAGCTCATCTCAACGTTGAGTGGTGCAATCAATCACGATCAATAAAATACTTATTCAAGTATGTTAACAAAGGAAATGATCGTGTCACCGCCTCATTTTATCAGAATTCTGCAGAAGGAGATATTGAAAAGCCTCTCGACGAGACAAACATGTACTATGATTGTCGTTATCTATCTTCATGTGAGGCGGCATGGCGGTTACTTGGGTTTGAGTTGCAGTACAAGAGGCCAGCAGTACAGCGCTTGAGTTTCCACCTAAAAGATCAGCAGAACATTATCTTCGAAGATGATGACGATATAGAGGATGTATTGGATAAACCAAGTGTTAATGAGAGCCAATTTCTAATGTGGATGGAGGCTAATAAGAATTATCCAAAGGAAAGAGACCTTACTTATGTAGAAGCACCCTCGAAATTTGTTTGGGATACGAAAAAAAGAGTGTGGAAGCCTCGAAAAAAAGATGGTACCACAGGCCGCCTAAAACTACATTAATCCTGGTTGCGGCGATATTTACTATTTGAGATGTCTGCTAACTGTTGTTAGAGGTGCTACGTGTCATCAGGACTACATGAAAGTAAACAACGTCCAATATCTGACTCATAGAGATGCTTGCTTTGAACGAGGATTGTTCGACGATGATAAAGAGTATATAGACGGTATAACCGAAGCGAGTCATTCGACATCTGCTGAGTCTCTTAGACGTATGTTTGTCTCATTGTTGGTTTCTGGCTCTTTAGGTCTCCCTGATGATGTTTGGGAACGATGTTGACAATTTTTATCAGATGACATTCTCTACAGGTAGCGGCAATTGTTCAATAACAATGGTATTGTTTTATTCTTTTTTTTATTTATATTTTCCTATTAATCTGTCCTTTCTTTTATATATTTGTTATTCTTTAATATTATGCATTATTTAATTTGAATCCTTACAATATTTATTGAATTTGTTAATGTATAGATTTGCGACTCAGTGATGATGTTATAAAGAATCTGTCTCTTGCTGAAATTGAAAATATGTTGCGAAGATGTGGATCAAGTCTTCGTGAATATTCTTCCATGCCTTATCCAGACAGAGATAGTATTCACACAACATCAAACCGCCTTATATTGGATAAGTTGAATTACGATAGGAAGGCCCTAGCTTTGGAGCACGCAACCCTTCTTCAAAGAATGACTGACGAACAGAAAGGCGTCTATTCGAAAATTATGGCTGCTGTGGAATCGGGTACTGGTGGCGTATTCTTTGTATAAGATTATGGTGGGACTGGAAAAACGTACTTGTGGAGGACGTTATCTGCTGCTTTACGATCCAAAGGTCAAATTGTTCTTTGTGTGGCATCGAGTGGAATAGCATCGCTTTTGTTGCCTAGTGGAAGAACTGCACATTCTCGATTTCGCATTCCATTGAATGTTCATGAAAATTCTTCATGTGATATCAACCAGACAAGTCCTCTTGCAGAATTAATAATACGATGCTCTCTCATCATATTGGACGAGGCTCCAATGATGAACAAACATTGCTTTGAAGTTGTTCAAACATCACTTCAGGCTGTCATGGGAGCAGTCGACCCTTCTAACAGTAACAAGCCCTTTGGAGGCAAGCCTATTGTGTTCGGTGGAGACTTCCGACAGATCCTTCCAGTCATTCCAAAGAGCAGTCGCCAAGACATTGTTAATGCAATTATTAATGCTTCTAGCATTTGGAAGGACTGTACTGTGCTTTGACTTACAAAAAATATGCGACTTCAAAGTATTTCTGACTCGAATGAGCGTGACGAGGTAGCAACCTTTGCTGATTGGATTGCTAGCATCGGAGATGGTACTTTAGGAGGATCGAATGACGGTTGTGCCTCTATTGATATACCAGATGATATTAGACTTGATCCCTTCGATGATCCAATTGCTACAATTGTGGAAAATACATGTCCAATGTTTAAGAATTCAACAGAAGATCCAAGTTATTCGAAGGATAGGGCTATTTTAAAGCAAATGTTAGAGGTCGTTGAGTCTATCAATCAGTACATGTCGGAGATGAATTCTACAGGAGGTCGCACGTATTTGAGTCCTGACAGTGCATCTAAGTCTAGTTCCGAAACGACTTCTTGGCATATCTCCACACGCCTGAGTTCTTGAATAGCATCAAGAGTTCGGGAACACCGAACCATGAGTTGCATTTAAAGATAGGAACAAGAGTCATGTTGTTGCGGAACATGGACCATTCTATGGGACTCTGCAAAGGGACACGGTTGGTTGTAACCAAACTAACCGCTCATGTGCTTGAATGCAAGATATTGACGGGTGATCATGCTGGCGAAAAAGTGTTGATTCCTAGAATGAATATTACTCCTTCTGATCTTAGGGTTCCTTTCAAGTTCCAGCGGTGGCAATTCCCACTTATGGTTTCGTATGCCATGACCATAAACAAGAGTCAGGGACAGTCTTTATCGCATGTTGGTCTTTTTCTAAAGAAACTTGTCTTTAGTCATGGGCAATTATATGTTGTTGTTTCGCGGTTGAAGATATTAGTTTGTGAGAATGACGAGTTGCCCAGTAATCAAACTCACAATGTTGTGTACAAGGAGGTCTTTAAGAATATATGATTGTTTCTTTGTCGAATATTATCTTATTGTACAATTTTCCTGCATATATTTATTGAATATTGCATCTTATAATATAATATTCCCCAAATAAATATATCATGTGCCTCGCACGTGTCACGTACTATATATATCCCGTACATTTTTCTTTTTCATGTATATGGTTATAAGCCTGGATTAATAACCTTAAAACTGTGCACCCCGTGCATCGTACGGGCTCTGTACTAGTTAGTATATACGATGTAATACTTTTATAACATCTAAACTCTTTTTTTACACCTCGATCTTTAATTTAAAAATTCAACCTTAATGTTATTCATAACATTTAGACTGATTTTGTGTAATTCAATATTTATATTTAAAATTAAAACTTAATAATAATTACTCATGTATCGCACAAGCGGTATACTTGTGATATATAATAAACTAGTACAATACTCGTGTTCAACAAGAGTACTTAAATATATTAATATTTGTAGAGTAAAATAAATTAAAATAATTTGTATTTTTATTCTAAAATTTTGTATAATGAATATACAACAATAATAAATAACTAACAAAATGATAATTAATTTAAAATAATGCCAGTATTTTTACATTAAATTTGTCAAACATGATATTTTTTTGTTATATTTTTCAAATTATATATATGTAAAACATATATTATTTACAACTACATAGAATCGATTCGGATTGTTTTAAAACAAAACAACTTTTATTGTATTATGATTATATTTTATATTTATATAGCTGGTGTCTCTTGTTCATTGATTTTTCAAGTATTTTACATTCATATAGTTTAATAATTTAGAATATTAATATAAGCAAAAATGTATTTTTTTTTAACTTTATGAAATATAAATATTTTATTATTTTTAATTATGATATTCTTTGATATTTATTATTTTTAATAACATAATAACATTCAGTTCTTTATATAATCCATTTAAATCAAGTAATAATATTTTACTTAAAATTCATATTATATAATACTTAATTTCTAAATTTGATCCAAAATATATGAAAAAAACACATTAAATGATTAATTTAAGGTGTATTAATAAAATAATAAGTTAGATTTTTATTTTTTATATAATAATTTATATTGTTATTTGATTTTTAAAATTTATTTGATAATAAAATTAGTTTTAGTTATAAAGATAGATGAAATTATTTTTTATTTTATATATGTCATATGGATGTCAGTTATAAGATCGTTAAAATATGATTATTTTGATATATCACATATAAAAAAATATAATACATATAAAAAGTTAGAAAGATTTAACATTAAAGAGAATAATAATGGTTAATATATGAAATAAATTAGAAAAGGTAATAGTGGTATATAATAATTAAGAAAAAATGAAAGGTAAAATAGTTTTGATAATTCTCAAGCGCAATAGTCAAAACCAAACTTGTACATGTGTCAATACAAAAACACTTATTTCTAAATAAACGTATGAAACATACGAGCCTACCACTTAAGCTAAACGCATTCGATAATTATTATAGATAAGGGCGATTAGGTTTCTTTATCAAAAGATAAGTCCAACAGAAGAAATACAATTCATCATTCTGTTTATTTTATGTATGCATCCATTTATCAAATACACGAGATTTTGAGACCTACAACAGTTTTCTCTGTTTTCTGTGTCCAAGAACATCAGCATCAATTCAAGCAGTTATCCACCTTTGGCTCATTTTATGTGCACATCCAAAGATTCAAAGACTTTAGGCGGACACGCCTACTTAGTTGTCCTTCATGTCTTCAAAGAATGGCTCCGGCACTTCCAAAGGCGAAGAAAGCATTGACACACATTTAAACTGTTACAAAAGAAGAAAAGAAAAGAAAAGGAACAATGTTAAATTAAGAGAATACCATATCTACGGCTCTAAAATTGAAATTCATTTGAATGGACATGAAAGGAAAAGGAAACACACACACCTTGTGCTGCTTGTATTTATCCCTCACAGCAACTAATGCACCTCCTCTTTTACTCAACTGCAAGTCATGAAGGATGCCCGCACATTCTTTTAAATCTGAGGGTTTGTATCCTGAATAACGTTGAAGAGCAATATTCTACAAAAAGTATAACTCAATCAGGGAAAAATGACTAAGCCGGAGATTCTTCAATATGAATACAATTAAGACTTAGCCTAATTAAGAAATCTCCAAATATTACAAGTACCCCCTCCTATGAACAAATTACAGAGTTCGCTAATATGAACCTAATGTCATTTACAAATTCCTTTAAGGGGATATTTATGATGCTTTTTTACTTGCAGCATAGAATTTGCAGTCTTACCCAAGGATGTACCATAGGTTGGAGCATAAATCGTGTGAGGAACATAACAGATGCAGCCACCAAGGAAGGCACAAATTTGACACACCCGTAATCCAGCAAGCTTAACTCTGCCAAGTAGGAAGCCAAGAATTCCATCTTCAAGCTGGAACCCTGAACAAAAGCATATTAACATTTAGAACAAATTATGGTCAACCAAGGAACACATGAGAGAAATGAAGTGTATTGCTAACGTAAGCTTACCCTATAGTCTTCTTGGGAAATTCTGATAAACCTCCTGAAATCACAAAATGATATTGCAACCTTGTCAGCTAAAAGGAGCTAGAGCTTATGATTACAGAATAAAAACACATACCATTAACAGTTTTCCCATCTTACCTGAGAAATGTCTTAACTGTGGGATTGCCCATCTCAAACCTAAGGGATTTGAGCACATCAGCCTCCATCTTCACAATCTCTTTCTTACTATATGTGTTGTCTGTGATGTAACAGAAGTCGTCCACATGCCGAGGACTAATCTCCTCATATTTCCTATGCATAAATCACATCACAACATAAAACTACATTCAGCTTTGTAGATACTAGTTTTACTTTCATATTTCTTTTGTTTATTTTTTTTCTTTTTCAATGATTGAATGGAGAGAGAAAGTGATTTGGTCCATACGAGGCAATGAGCATCGAAGAAACTCCAAGAAGCTGAAGCCTTTGCCTACTAATAGCATTCGTGGATAAAAATCTATCAATATAGGAAACTGTTGAGTACAAGGTATCAGATTGAAGCTTGTACTCCTCCGAGACCTCGACCAACCAATCTACTAAAATGCCTCTCATGTTAGCATTCATGTCTCTTTGAATTTTCTCCAGGTAATTGGACAATGGCCTTCTCCTAGCTTCCATCTGCATCATTGAGTCAAATACTTACAGTTATACCAGAACTTGAAGTTTTCACCCAATTCAAGTCAAAAGAAATTGCACTTAATGTTAATGCTATATCTGATTATATTTTCCTTTCAATATAGGCTTTAAGTATCACTAAAATCGGAATCATTATCTCAATTATCATCTATATAATCCAATGTGTTACCATTCTCCGGCGCAATTGTATTGGTTGGCTCTATATGTGAGTCTTCAAGCTTCTAAAATTTATTTAGAAGCTAGAAACTTGATTTATCAGAATTAACATGATATCTGCTCAATGGCTACCAAATTATATGAATAATCAAAATGAGAGTAGCTCAAATTCGTTTCCTGAAATATGATTTGAATTTTAAACAAATTCCTTCAATTTTCCTCTCAATTTTAGATTTATCTGAGTGAAGAAGAAAAGAAATGCATCAGAACAGTAAATAAGTTGAAAATCCTTGACAATCAAATTTATGAAACAAATCATTCAAGGTCCCTTACTAGAGAACAACAAATCATGATATGAGAAAGGAAGTCCAACGAAATTATCTAATTTAAATCTCACCTCCATGTTATGAAGATACTCATAAATATCAGAAGCATAAGCTTCGCACATCTGTGGATCCTCACATTTTTCCAGGCCCTCATTAAGGCCAGAATCAGTTTCCTCTTTCTCTCTATTTGTTTTCTCTTCAATCGTTTTCTGTTTGCTCAATTTCCTCTTTGGCTTACTTTTCCTCTTCTCGTCGCCCCCAACACCAAGACCCTGACTTTTATCGAAAACAGGGCCATTTGAAGACATGACATTTTGAATATCGCCCAAAACAACTCTCTTCTTCTTGTTAATGTGCTGTTGCAACTGCATCGCCTCTTGTGCAGCTCTTTTCCTCGTCATCAAACGCGTCACCCTTACGCCGATCTCTTGGTCAGCCATTGGAGAATTCTAAAGAAATGAAAATCCAATGAAAACTATGGAAGAACAAATAAGACTGTATACAACTTGTTTGACGGTGAGATTGGATTGAGCTGGTTTGTTGGAGTTTATAATAAAACATAAATTATACATTATGCCGCCTGTTTAAATTTTTTGGAGGGACTCTCTAGTTCAAAATAGAAAGCAAAAATAATAGAAATGTTTTCATTTTTCATTTGATTTGTCTTTGAGCGCGTTTTTGAGTTTCCCGGCTAATAATCAGGATTTTTTATTTTCGGGAGCCGCCAACCGCCAAGAATGTTAAATTGGAGATTTGGAGGTATAATCAAAATTTTGTAACTTTTTTTAAAGATTATGTTTGACTTCTGAAAGATAATATTGAACGCAATAATCAGAAATTCAGAATACAGAATTTCCCATTTACACTGCATCTTCTTTCAAAAGGAATTCTCTGTTTTTTTGACTATCTTTATCCACAACCCAACCCAACTCAACCCAATAATAGAAAATTATTTTTCTTTCATCCACCTACACAACCCAACTTTTAACAACTTAACCCAACATAATATTTATTTTATTTTTATTTATTAAATATTATCTGCAATAGATTTTTTGGTATTGTTTTAGTTGTGAAATTAAGAAAAATAAAAAAAGATGATAAAATTAATAAGGTATGATTAAAAAAATGTGAAAAGAGAGAAATTTCAATTGTGTTCCAAAATATATCAAGAGTGGTCTCTATTTATAGAGAATGAAAAAATACGAATTTTGATATTTTTTATTTATTTTTTTAATATAAAATAATATCAATAATTTGGATTATACTTTTCTTATTATATAAAATTTATAGTGACCAATGGGAATGGGACAAGTGTCATTCCTTTCATCCCTATATCAAAAAGCATGAAAAAAAAAAAGAAAGAAATTGAGGCACTGAGTTGCGACCCAAGATGTATATATCTATATCTATAGTTATATCTATATCTATCTATATATAAGGTTGTTGTTAAAATACTTTTTTAGAAACTTTTGACCAAAAAAAAACTTTGGCATTCTAAGTATAGAAACCATATTTAAAGCATTTATAATACACGAAATTTTAAAAAGGTCAAACTTGAATTCAAAAATTAATTGATTAGAGATATTATTGGAATATGTGGATAAGTCACTTTAAAGAGATAAGTTAAGTCTCCATGGAATATCTATCACAATTGGATCCATAATTATCATTACATAATTATGCGAATCTTGAGTTCAAGAACGGTTGTTTGGTATAAAATAAAGCCCACGTCATTCACAGTTCAGAGAAAATGAAAAAAAGTTCACGTACGTCATTCACAGTTCAGATAAAAAAAAACCGAGATAAATTTGTTAGAGAAAAAAAAAGAGATAAATTTCAGAACACATAGATAATATAATGCCGTCAGTCTGGGATACACTCGATTCCGTGAGTAGGAGAAACAAGCCTTTTTTGCACTTGAAAGCAGTCCTAATAGTTGAAACGCATCACCAACGGGAGAGCTTGAACGCATTCCATATACTGTTTCATGATGAACAGGTAAATATTTTTATTTGTAATATCAATTTTATATAATTTTAAAAAATATTTTAATTCATATTTATAAATTTATATTGTAGGGTACATTCATTAAAGGCATAATACGTTCCAAACATATGGGAGCATTTCGAGGTGTACTGAACGAAGACGAGGTGTATGCGATCAGCAACTATGTTGTTGAATTTAATCATAGGAAGAAGGATATCATAACCAACATATGGAAACTTGTGTTTCATGGATAAACTCATGTTATCAAATATGGTGGAATTTTCCCTCAAGATTGTGATATTTTCCCACAAAATTAGCAAGGAGCGGGAGATATTTATGATATTTAGAGTTTGATTATTATGAATTTTAATTTCATTCCATGTCGTTGAATTTCGAATTCTATAATAAATTTTAGTGTTATTATATTCAAAGAATGGAGTCAAATTATTCATAACCAAGACTATTATAATTAAAAATATATATAAAATATCCAATAATTATGGGTACAGGTTTTTTAAAATTGCCAGAATATTTTGTTCACTATTCTACTAATCATGTAAAGATCTCTTTTTTATGTGACACGAATGTGAGGCTTATAAATATCCAATCAAACTCATACGATAAAAATAGCTTACCCGAAGATACAAAAATGCATATATTGTCATGGTCAGTCTTTATCGCATATTGGGTTGTACTTGAAGAAATCGTTTTTTTAGTCACGACTTGTTATATGTTGTTTTTTCACGTGTAACTAATAGGAATTTGTTGAAAATATTAGTTTGTGGGGATGATGAATTACTCAGTAATCAAACTAATAATGTTGTGTACAATGAGATTTTTAATAATGTTTAACTTATTACCAACGAAGAATTTATGATTTCTTGACATATAGCCTACGTATTATACCTTATTAAGTAATAACCTTCAATTTATAAAATTTTCTAAAATAAATACATGTCGTGCATCGCACGGGTTACATACTAGTTACAAATAGCGGTTTTGCTATAAAGTCATCAGATGGCACGACTTATGGAGTCATCCCCCCTATATATTAATTCAAAATTGTTAAGCCTAAGTGGCAGACTCGCATGCTTTGGGTTTCTATGTGACAAAATTACATGGTTCGTTATTAGGCTTTGATATAATTTAATTTACTTTCAATCCAAATATAATTAGGTTCGGATTATCCATAAATATGTTGATTATTTATGATCATGTTACATGTATTAATTACATTTTAATATCATTCTTATTATAACCATTGAATTGTAAATGAATTTTAAAAGTTAACAACTTTTGTATTTTTTATCAGTTTTACATATATAATATATCAAATTAATCATCTCGTGATGACTTCGATTTAACATCCATATTGAATGAAAAAAAAAATTATATTTATCATCATAACAATAACAATTTTTTTAATATTAATTAGAAAAATAAATTTATTTATCAATTAATATATTTATATTTCAAGTAATTATATGATGTAAGTTATAAAAGTTAATATAATATAACACATGAAAGTCACAGAAGTAACAAGTGTCATTCTAAAATATATAATAATATATTTTTTTTGTAACAAATTAAATAAAATTTAAAATAATGTTTCTCATTAATTTTAAAATTTAAGAATATTTTTTTAACAATCACCAGTGTAATACACGTGTTGTACTAGTCCACACTTATTCACAAATAGTGTATTGACATGTGTCATACAATAAATATACTTTAGACAGGTGTCAATACATTAAGTGATGAATGAATCCATAAGAAAACTATCAATGGCTCCATAGAATTTCTGTTACAAATAGATTAACTTTTAGAGTTTATGAATGATTGATTCATGCTTTATTTTATTTACTTTTTTTTTAAATTGCATTATTTTTTTGTTTATGACTAAATGATTTATGTATGATTTTATTTTAATATCAATTTTTTGTAAAAATTTTAATATAGTACAATAAATATGTGAAAGAGTCATCTTAAAATCACCATTAATGCAGGCATGAAAACGTGGTTCTACTGATTTTACTATATATAAAATTTTGGGGAAGACAAGTAGTTGTGTGTATATCAAAAACAATGTATGTTCATATAAATTTGTTAAAGTCAATAACAATAAATGTGAACTTCCACGTGTTAGTATTATATACTGAAAGCTTGGCTTTGCATGTTATTACACTTTTGCTCTTTATGAATGAGAATCATGTTAGTTTAAACAAGTTCTACCTTCTTTTGTCTTGCTCTTATATAGAGTGGATCGTCATCGGGCGAACCGAAGATCACTCTATCAATCACTTGCGAAACGAAGAATAATGGTTCACAACCTAGATGGAAATGAAAACCCCATCCGAACGGTTGTAGTGTCAATTATACAATATCTCTTGACTGATTAGTTGCACTAGTACATTTATGTATGGAACAGGATCCCAGAGAGGAGAAGATCGTTTTATACTGATCGTCGTAAACGAACTAGGCCTTGGTTAATTACTGCGTTCTGTTAACCCGTAAGATATTAAACAGACAAATATATATAGTATATGCTAGATTAAAGAAGGTAGAACTTGTTTAAACTAACATGATTCTCATTCTTTTTTTTTTTTCCAAACGATAATAAGACTCATATTACTCAAATAAATAGAGAGTTTACAACCGCATGGCCAACTAGCCAAAATACAATCCAGAGAACCACTCCAAATGGTGGCCTCGTAGAAACGACAAACAAGAACAACAGGCATAACAGAAGTTAAGCGACCCTGCGTCCTCAACATAACCTAGAAAATCCAACAAACCACAACTATAAAAAGGAACAAAATCCAAGCCACTGAACCATAAGGGACCTAGCTATGGATACACAACCGGAACAAAAAACAAAACACAAAACCAACAAAAATAGAACCTAGAGAAAAGGAAGATAAGAAGCCTCAGACCATTCTCTGTGAGCAAGCTTGGCCATTGTCTCCTCAGGCATCCATTCCTTCTGAAAGACCCACAGGTTCCGGGATTTCCACAACCACCACAATATGTACGTGGAAAGTTGAATGCGCGCTTCAGCTACTGGTGTCAGCTTCATTTCAGCAATGTGCCACCACCAACCTTTAAATCCTGTGTAAGCAGCTTCACAGAAATCCCAAGACAGAGTTGAGGCCTTCCATACTAGCTGTGCCCTCCTGCACTCAAAAAATAAGTGTGCCACAGTTTCAATCTCCTCCCCACAGCATCTGCACAAAGGCTCCACCTCGATTCTCTTATGCAGCAAATTCTGAGCAACTGGCAAGTTGTTAGTAAAACACTTCCATAGAAAGTGTCTCAGCTTAGGTTTAACTTTCAAGGACCAACACCTCAATCTAGCTATCTTATCCAGCTTCTGATTATAGCTACAACATGGAGAGTCAAGTTTTAAAACCTTCTGATTAATAGCCACCTCATAAGCAGAAGCTACAGAAAAAATACCCTTAGCATCAGGACACCAAATCCATCTGTCTCTCTCTTCTGGATTCAGACCTTTCAAACTCAAAATTTCTCT